AAAGTCTCCCTGTTGTGTGGTCTCAGACATGATTTAACAAGTCTAAGAGAGTGTTTTACCTTCTCCTCAGAAGAGTTACAGGTAATTGCCCAGTTCACAACTCTGTCACTTTAAACAATTCACTGCTGGAGCTGCAGAGCAGAGGCATGAGGTGCAAGAGGTGCAACAGAGCTAATGAAGTGCCATCAGGCAACTTTCCTTGGGCATCGCTGGACTTCAGCCAAGAGTTCTGCTTAAGAGGATACATTTTCCACAGACCAGCCTGGAGCGGCAGAACAGATACTCTATAGTACTCTGTATCTCTGAATGGAACAATGTGCACTGAGAATCTAAACTCTAAGCCAATGGACAAGGGAACCTTGCAAAAAGAGGGGGCAGACATATAATTTTGTCCCCTGCCAACCATGAAACCAGTACTTCCCTCTGTAACAACAGCTCAGTTACTGCAGGAACTATGTTTTGCTGCAACTCTTTTCACATCCTAGTCACAACCTATGTTGCAACCTATGTCCTTACAGTGCATGATTGCTCAAATTCCTTCTCTACTAGCTGCAAGTGGCCCTGTCACCTTTTCATTTTTAAAAAACAAAAAACCAAACCAAACAAACAAAAACCAAAACAAAAACAAACAAAAAAGACCAACACACCAAACCCTGGAAAATTACTCCTGTAAGTTGGGGTACAAGCATGTGCAATTTTGCTCAGGGACCTAGAACAGCACATTGCCTTCGTAAACGACGTGTGGTATTTTTTCCTACAAGAGCTCAGACATTTAGGACTATAGAGGATATTTCTGAATCTTATGCCCCATTTCACACTCTCTCCAAACCCACATTTTCTGCAAAGAGCAAAACATAAGCATAATTGCAAGAAGGTAGGTGCTGGAGGGGACCTGAGTGTATTTCCTGGACTCCTCTCCAACAAGGACAGCAGTAGTGACAAAAATGCAGGAGCTCCCTATGGTAACCGAGATAAAACTCCAGCTTTGTCCTCCAGCAGGGAACAGCCTGAGCTCTGCTTTCCCGTATCCTCTTGGCCTGCACTGCAGGTCACAACCCCTGGCTCACAGAAAACAAGCTGCAGCCAAAACTGCTGCTTGCACAACAGAAACAGCCAAAGCTCCTCTGAGCATGGAGAAGGGTCTGAATGAAGTATTTCTTTCTGGCCCAGCAATAGAACTCTGGCTGTGTGTGCACACTGGGGAAACAACACACTGAAGGGTGCCTGGAGACTGTTTACTGGTGTAATCCTGATGTAATTAAGAGAAAAAGCAACCCCATACTGGTCACCCTTTAATTCTAAATATCTACAAATGCAAGCTATGTTCCGCAAACATTCCACAATTTTGCAATCTGAGAAAATCAGATTGAGAAATAAGGTGAATTCCCAGCTAAGGCCCAATCACGGATGCTGGTATTCATTATTCTGAGAAGGAACGGTACACTATTTTAAGTTTACATGTGCAGTAATTCACCTCATGAGTTTTGCCATGCTCTTGTATAGAATATTTACTAGCATTGACCTCGGGTTTATAGATGCAGAACAACTGCAAACTTGACTCCTTTCAAGAAACAGATTGAAAATGCAGATATTTATCTGAAATAAAATTTATTTGCCCAGACGTTTTGATGATGATTCTAATAGTGAAATAATGTTTGAGGAGGGTCTTTAAAAAACAAAACAAAACACCACCACCACCGTTTCTATTTAAAGCTGCTCCAGGCAAAGCCCCCTTTATTCATCTCTGCTTCTTAAGGCCTTCTTCCACCATCAGTCACCCACAAAAGCCAAGGATGAGCTGCAGCTCATCTGCCCCAGCACAGACTGGCTTGAGCCATCAGTGGTGTGTGCTCAGCTGGCTGACAGAAGCTGGTTTAGGGGCCACAGCTTTAGGAGGAAGGCCTTGCTCTGTGCAGCTGCAACTTCTGAACAGAAGACCATTTAATTTCACAGTCTCTTCACCTTACCCATATGAGATGAAACAAAACTCATCCAGAATAGGAAAAAGTGATTTTCCAACTCTTCTTCGGAGAGTAAACTCTTTATTGACAGCCAAGTTAGTGGAAATCATCAACACAAGCTCACTTTAGACATGAAATTTGAACAAACTCTTCCCATTCTGTTACCTATATGACCACTCTGACACAAAAAATGGCTCTGACCAGAAAGTATTGGTTTATTGTAAAAATACCAAAAAACCCCAACCCACACTCAAAGTTAACCAAGTGTATAAAACCCCCACAGAACTAAGCAAAAGACTGATGCGTACACAAAATACAAGGAAACCATTACATATGGAGATAAGCCAGGTACATTCTCAGAAAGCCAGGAATTCCTGTAAGGAAGGCAGTAGGAGCACTCAGCTACAGCTGTATGAACCATGGTAAATAAACAGGACAGGCACTGAGAAAGCAGCACCTCACCTGGCAGGGAAGAGAACAGTCACCAGCAGCATCTGGCAGGTGCCTGGCATCCATTCTAAGTCTTACTGTAAGGGCATGGGGTGTTTCTGATGGCACAGATCCTTCTATTTCCAGTGTCAGAATCTAAACCCCAAAAGACTTAAAAGTTTTCTTTCTGAGAAATAGTTCTGAATTGGATTTTCCACAAGCAGCACTATTAGTGGATGAAAGCCTGACACTAATTGGCTCCCTGTAACTTCACTTTGTCTAGCGAAATAACCTACCCTCCACAGTGAAATCTTTATTGACATCAAGATGAAATCATCAGACTGGATCTCTCAAAAAGCTGAAAGCTGTATTATTAACTCCTATTTTGATGAAAAGCATTATAAAGGTGCTTTATAAAGAAATATTTTCAAGTAATTTCATAATAACATTATCAATGTTAATAAAATTTAGTTCCAATGAATGCATTAACTTTTTCCTTAAATGACATTTGTGAAAGTCAAATACTGACCAGATACTGTTTGCCCTCTGCTAAAAATATGAGTCTGGCAGTGATGAGAGTCAAAATTAGAAGCCTAAAAAGAAACTTAATCAAAGGTGCATTAAATGCAGAGTGCTGGTACAAGGCACAGTTCTGTAAGTGAGATATAAAATCCAAGTAATTTTATTAATCTTCATATTCTACCTGGTATGTAAAAGACATCTTTCTTGACAGCATCCATCTAAAAATACTCATCTAAACCTTCAGCTTTTAAAAATATTAAAAGAAGACATGTGGTCCTCTCACTTTCCAAAATGTCAGAATTAACTGTTGAATTACCAAAGTTGACCTGTACTTCAGTGAAACCTTTTGACAGTTTCCCACAGCGTTTTCCTGGAAAAACTGTCTGCTCATGATTTGGACAGGTGCACTGTTCACTGGACAAAAAACTGGCTGGATGGTTGGGCTCAGAGAAGGGAAGGAAATGGAGTTAAATGGCGTTAAATCCAGCTGGTGGCCAGTCCCAAGTGGTGTTCCCCAGGGCTCAGTACTGGAGTCAGTCCTATTTAATGTCTTTATCAACAACCTGGCTTAGGGGATGGAGGGTAGCCTCAGTTTGCAGACAAGAAGAAGTTGGGTGGGAGTATTGATCAGCTGGAGGGCAGGAAGGCTCTGCAGAGGGATCTGGACAGGCTGGATCATTGGTTTTGGCCAGTTGGATGAGGTTCAACAAGGCCAAGTGCTGGGTCCTGCTCTTGGGTCACAACAACCCCACATGGCACTACAGGCTGGGGGCAGAGCAGCTGGAAAGCTGCCCAGCAGCAAAGGACCTGGGGTCCTGCTGGTCGACAGCTGGCTGAACACGAGCCAGCACTGTGCCCAGAGGGCCGAGAAGGCCAATAGGCATCGATGTCTTAAGATACATATTATATGGATTTCAGCATAGCTTTTTAGCACTTTTGATATGGTTTGATGGTGCCTTTGGCCTGTTAGTACCTTTGTACAGGATTTCTAAAAATGTTGTTTAATATTTCTTGCCAAGAGTTCCAATGGACAAAGATTGTAGCAAGGAAAAGAACATTTTATCTGTAGAAAATGTACTCAGAAAACAGCCATAACAGGCACATGGCTTGATATAAATGAGTCAAAGCTGTTCATAAGCCTTGGAACTTTTCCAGAAGGAATGCTACTGTGCCAAAGACCAAGGAACAAGATGAGGAAGAGAAAGACAAGAAGCATGTCTAAGGCAGGATGAGGGAGTGTCCAGTTCTGGGCCCCTCACTACAAGAAACTGAAGTGCTGGAGCGAGGCCAGAGAAAGGCAACAGAGCTGATGAAGCATTTGGAGCACAATATGAGGAGCAGCTGAGGGAGGTGGAGTTCTTTAGCCTGGAGAAAAGGAGGCTCAGAGAAGACCTCATCACTCTCTGTGACTACCTGAAATGAGGTTGTAGCCAGGTGGGGGTAAGTTCCTTTTTCCCAAGTCAAAAGTGATAGGACAAGAGGAAATGGCCTCAAATTGCACCAGGAGACATTTTATTTGGATATTAGGAAAATTTCTTCACCAAAAGGGTTGTCAGGTACTAGAACAGACCACCAGGTTGAATCACCATCCCTACCGAGGCATTTTAAAGTTGTGCATATGTGGCACTTAACAGACATGGTTTAGTGGTGGACTGGGCAGTGTTAGGCTAACATTGGATCTTTAGGATGTTTTCCAACTTAAATGACTCTGATTCTGATTCCACTGGCCTGAGGTTTGTTGGAAAATCACAACTGATGTCTATAGTCATATTGCACAAACAGATAGGGGCAATATAGAAATATCATGCTTGTAGTTTAACAGTTTTTCTGTTCAACATTATTTTTAACCATTAATCCACTACTGAAAAATATTTCCTTCCCATTTTAAGACTTGGCTCAATTATTGTATTTCAAATAGCCCTGTCTGTATAATTTAAGGGGGGGGTTGGAAACAAAGGGTACCATAACAAACACTTCTACAACAACAGTAAAGGTCAATGCAATTTACAGGACAGTTAAACAAGTATGGGCTTAGATATTCCCCAGGAATGGTTTCTCATGTTTGCAAACAAAGAAACAACAAAAAAATTTATATACCATAATTTAATACTTAGGGGCTCGTATCCCTAAACACTTAAGTCACAGACTCAGAAAATAAATTCAGGAATTTTCATCTTGGAAATCTGTGTGCCTAATTTCAAGATAAATACTGGATTGTTTTAACTTAAGTTCTAGAGTTCAAAACTCATCTCCAAAGGAATAAGGAAGAACTGTCACCAGTTCCTGTTCAGATACCTGCCAGATGGAGACTGGCTCAGTATAACTGAACTTTTAGACAGGAGTTCGTTTCTTTAAGGGCCTGTGAAGTTTAAGAGGCACTTTAATTTACAATCGTTACATTAAAAAAATGTTCCCAGAGTTTTCCAAAGTTGTTTTCTATGCTTGCTGAGACCACAAAAACCGGTCACACCTTTCCAACATTGACTGAATCAGCGCTCTGCAATTAAAACAAAGGAGAAAACCAAAAGATTAAATGATAAAAAAGATAACAACAGAAAGAACAACAGTTTTAGTTTGCTTTTAAAAGAAAAGTCCGTAAAAAATGTGACTGCATTTCAGAAGTAGCATCCTGATCACCACACACGCCTTCTCTGGAAGGAATAGGTGAGATCAGAGTCTGTGCAGGACTCAGCAGGACACATCTCCTTCAGACAATCTCCTTTACATACATCTTTAATATATGGTTTCCTGTTTCCTTATTTTCAGTTTTAAAATGCCTACACTGCAAAACACATAGTTCTTAAATAATAGGAAAGCTTTCACCTCAGCCTAAAATCCAAGGTAAAAATGTGAAACACTTCACACTCTTGTTAACTGAAAAGAAAGTTTAAAGCACAGAGATAATCCAAAACAAAGAGTGTGAATCTTCTGTTGACACATCTCTTACCTCTGCCTCTTCTCAGCAATTCTCAGTATCTCACAGACACCGGTAAACCTCTCAGACAATTCTGCTGTCAAGCCACACTCCTGCAAGAGAGGCAAGGCACGATTGGGGCCGATGGCCCTGGCCAGCAACAGAGCCACATTTTCCACAGTGATGCAGTCTGGGCAGCTCGGGCCACCATTGCTGACGGCATTCCCGTTCTGTTGGCCGTGGTGGTGCAAGGCTGTGCTGTGGTTTTGTGCAAGATGCAGAAGAAACTTCCACTCTTCTATGGTCTCTGGAATGCAACCTGGATGTAAAATGAGTTTGTTATTTGTAAACCAAGGATTACTCTAAGCCTGCTCTAAGCCTGCTATTTTAATTATATCTGTTGTAAAAGGGAGGCTAGCTGTTCTGGTTTACACCGGGGAGATTTAAGAAAACCGAACGTTATCAAAAAGCAAATTGTGCACAGAAATGCACTGCTCTGACTGACCCAGTTTAAAGATCTAGTGGTGAACACACAAAGCTTCAAAATACTTCAGTATTTAAGGCTTTGGATTAAGTCAAGAGTCAAAGTTTTGTCCATCTTAGGGGTACAAGGAATTTTCTTGTAAATTCTACGTTGTGATGCAATGTTTTGCTCACCCTAACTTTGGGTGTGCCCACATGCAGTGTGGGAGTTTGGTGCTGTGCAGGAAGGCTTGCTATTCTTCTACCTACAACACCAAGTTTAGCTTTTACTCCCAACTGATGCACAACTCTACATTCTTGAACTTTTAAGCAATTTTTTAGCACAACTGATTTCACAAAGCACAGAGTGAAGATATAGGACTGCAACACCCATTTATGTGTTTCAAATATGCTGCACTACACACAGTTAGGGCTACCAAAACAAAAAATTACAAGTTCAACTCAGCTTTGGACAAATCATTGTACATAGGCAGTTCCTAGACTACAGAAGTATGTTTACACAGCTTAAGAATCACTAACCATCTTCTCCATTCAACAGGCTCAAATCATCCAAATGAGCAATATTAGTAAAGGCTTCTATTCTTCTATCCAGCTCCAGACAGAGAAAAAGATATCCAGGCCAAAATCTTGAATAAGAGAGTAAAGATTTCCAGGAATCAAATACTCAGTTTAAACCAAAGTCAAGAACAATTACACGCTCATTTAAGTACCAGTAAAGACAGGAGCAACTACATCTCTTGAATGCCAGAAATAGAGTGGGGACATGGCGAGTACCTTCTCAACCAGAAGGGGTACTTAGTACATTAAACTGGACACTCAATATTCATCCTCAAAAACCGAAAAGTTTTAAAATAAACACTGTCCAATTAAGAAGCAGGCGGGTCATTTTCATTTGTATCTTTTTGGGGTCAGAATACCAACTCACCAAGCATCAAGAATTACCAAGTCTTCTCCTTACCCATGTGATTTACAGATGTGAGCCATCTTCTCTTTTGTAGCAAAATCAGCTGGGAGTTTAATCAAAAGCAGAATGAGCTGGCTGTAGCCCCAAGTAAACAAATGTGATCGTGGCCTAGAAGATGAGAAATTCAGTTTTAAAGCATTATTGAATTTCTTCAGAACATTATGGCAGGTATATGAAAAGAGAGGAGGAGAAATGAATGAAACACCATGTGCAGTCACTCTGAAAAGCATTACAGGTAAGTTATTCAACCCTTTGGTTGTCTCTGCTGAAATCTGCAACATGCTCCAAGGAGACAGTGACATCTGAACTGTCATACAAAATCTAATCCAAAAGACTGCAAATCTGTTGGAGCCTTCTGTTGCACTCAGAACCTTGGGTGAAACCCACCTTACCTGGGATTTCCTTCTGCATCCACAGTATTTGCTCTTTGTGGAGCATCATGAGAAACTGCCAAGCACAGCCAATCCAACCGTAGAGATTCGGGCTGCAGAAGAGATCGAAGGAGAGATGACCTAGAAAACAAAGCACACAGGAACAATCCTACCAGTTTCAGATACACCAGATATAGAGAAGCAGAGTGTGTATGGACAAACAACAACAACAAAGCTGTAAAATGAAATGCAGAGAGGCATAAAATGGTTTATGTTTTTGTTTGTTTTGTTGGTTTTTTTTTTAAATGCTGTCTAACATTGGTATATCGAACTGCAGACAGAAACAAAAAGTGAGTTTCATTAAAAGTATTATTTAGGAAAACCCTCTTAAAAAACCCCAACAGTCAAAATCAAAAAAACCCACACAACTACATGATGAAGAGAACAGAAAATGAAAAAGATTCTGTATTCCCTTTACCTTTTATCCTCTGGTTTTGATTTCACCAGACTATCTAAATATGCTAAGAAGTGAGCTGGATCATTCCTGCAAAGCTGTTTAATATCAGAAGGCAAAATAAAGGGGTAGAATTTGATCAAGGGCCGAAGAGCTGTTTCCCCAAATTTTTCATAAAGCCTGGAAAGAGAGGATAAAAACTATTTTCAGAACCAAACAGCAAAATAATCATTTTTCCAAGACGTCTTGCAAGTTCAAGGCAGTAATGAAAGGAGATCTAAGAGATTCCCAGAAATCTTCAAGAAATGTTAAGCAAACCAATTCCTGCTTGCAAGTTAACCACTCTGAGGAAAAGAAAGGGAAGATCTGGGTACAAACCTTTGAGCATGTACCAGTAACAGTGGGCTGTCATCCCACGGCCCCAGGTCATGCAGCAGCTTCAGTATTTTCAACATATCTTCACCCTCCATTGCTAAAGCCACTGGACTGTGACAAGTTAGTTCTGAAATAATTAAGTGCACAAGTTACAAGATATGGGCAAGGCTTTTTTCCTTAACACGAACACCACCCACCCCACCCCCCCTTTTTGTCCTTACACTGAACAACAGCTACCACTGCCTTCATGGAACTCTCCAGCTAACAGCAGTAACAAGGGAGCAGATCCTACTTGTTCATTCACAGGAATCAACATCACTACTCTGTGCTTACAACAAATTACAGTTATAAAGCAATTTGGTAATTCTTGATACAATTAAGGCATGGAATAACACTCCTGATGTATTTTCCTTTCCTTTAGACTTCTGAGGAGGTAATTTTTCTGTCATGTGAGAAAAGGTAGCCCACAGCAGGATGTATGGCTTGCTGAATACAATACAGATCTGCATCAGTTCTCACATATTACAATTCTCTTCTATTAGTAAATAAAAACTGCAGCTTGAACACTGACTTAATAGAACATAGAATTCAACACGAAGCTTGACCCTGATGAAATGCAGATATTAATCTATAGGCACAAGTGCAGCCCAACTAAGGACAAACTGGGAATTCATACATTACTTTCATTTCTAAGGCTCTCAGAATCCAAACAGTGAAGAGATTCCCGGAAATCCAAATAGCAAGATACCAACCCTCAGAGCAAGATTTTGTTGTTTAAATATTCTCTGTTGGAGCCAAATCAATACCAAGACTTTATTGCACTCTTAAATATATACAGCAGAGGCTAAATGCAGAGAACAGAAAAGTTCTTGTTTCCAATATAATCATAAAGCTCTGGTTCAATAAGATTAAAGAGGCATCAAAAAGATTAAAAAGCATTTCTGAGGAACAAGGAAGTCCAAAGTGATCGTAAGTCACTCACTTGCATGAAACCATTCACTCCATTCAGTTTTGTTTCACATTAACCATTCCTCTACAAGTTGAATCTTTCAGTGCAAATGCTGAAGCCCCTCCCCTCACTTTTGCCTTGTTTTTACAGACATGATTCTAATTAAGATGGTTTTGCTCTTTGAAGTGGGTATATTTGTTTGTAAATAGATCTAGGCCGTGATCACTCCAGAGTTCAATCAACAAGTTCCATGCAAACTAACAGGTTCAAAATTGCAAAGTGGGGGGAAGGCAGAACAGTCTCTCCAAGGAATCAGCAGTTCTTCCTAAATTAGTCCTGGGGGGGAAAAATAATCAACCAAACAGCCCAAACCCAGAACAAACACTCCCACATACCAACCGTCCTCCCCCTCCCACACTACCCACCCACCTTCTGCACACCTGCAGAAGGAGAAATTTGCAGACACAAATTTGGGTGTCTTCAAGCTTTTTTTTTTTCCTCCCAAGCAGTCTTACTTTCAGATTAAGAAGTAACACAGCTTTCATTAGTTACCTTTCAATCCTGCGATGTACGTTTCCCATACATTAGGACTGGCTGCATATGTGGTTATAATACACTGCTTGACTCTTTTTAAATCCAAAAGAAAGAAGTATCTTTGCATAAACCTACAAGCCAAGGTCCACGGAGCTGCCCGAGGCAGACTTCCATCAGAGCCCTCCTCAGCATCACCACTTGCACAAGGAAAGACGCGCAGCTCAAAACACAGCGTTGTCAAGTCCACGAGATCTTTCCGAACATCCGTTTCTAGGACACACGGGGGAGACACTTGAAAGCCGCCGTCCAAAAGTCCCCTCAAATCAGCACCATTTTCACACATGGTTTTGCTTACACAAGCTTCATCAGTATTTTCCTTTTCAGTGCAGCCTTCCAAAATACTACTCTGTTCCTTGTCCCCTGGGTCTCCGTCAGCTGGAGCCAGTCGCAGGTTTTCCTCCATGCCTGCCCTCTGTTCTTCAGCACACACAGCCTTGCTTTTCTTGGAAGACAAAGCAGAATGGTCTTTGCTGCTGAATTTTTCTTCCAGATAGACAAGCCATTCCTGTAAAACCCTTCTCATACACTGAGGTTCTAATAAAACCTGGGGATCCTGGAGTTTGGCTCTGCAGCAGAAGAAAAGAGGTTTTCCCAAGTTTAACAGTAGTAAAATGCCCAAGTGAATCATTGTACGTTACACATTGCCTGTGTAACCCAAAGTATACTCCTACCCCTGACTAGTGTCAGTTGTTATTTTGGGGTTTTGAGTGCATCAAACAGACTTAAGGCTACTTATCACTGTCTATGTTTGATCTCAGTACACTCTGAGTTCCCCAAGACTTCCTTCACAATGGGTTTTTGTTTGTTGGGTGGCTTTGATTTGTTCTTGTAGTTAGGACAAAAGGATAATGCTAAAGTACCTAAATAAGCTTTTAGTGGGTTTTGCTTGGTTTTAAAAAGAGGAATCAAATCATTCATCATATTAAATCCTTTCAAGTTATGTTAATAGACATTTAGAGCATTACTCTTACATGCACGTAATGAATGAAAAAAAACACAAAATTTAAAAAACCAGTCATTTTTATCTACCAAAGCCTAATATATCTACACAATAAAAAGTCTCTCTGCTTACAAAGCTTCTGCTGTTGCAGCCTTGAGATCTCGGAGACGGTCCTCCTCAGGAAGCTGGCAGCTCTGCGGTTCTAACCTAGAAAAACACAGTCATTTCAGTCTTATCCGAAACATTATCTTTAATAATTTAAGTGAGGACTTCTTCACAGATTTTCTCATTGTTTCCACATTAATTCCTTTATTAAATACAAAGCTTTAATTTTTAAAGAAGGAACAGCTCAACAGAAATTATGGATAAACTGAGCATGAAGAACAACCGTCTCTTTTTACGGCCTTCTGTAATGGCTTCTACTCAAACTACAATAGATTTCTGCAGGTACTGAATAAAAACCAGTAGCATACTACTGTATGAAAGTTAGTCCAAAATGATAAATTAGCACTGGAATATGAAGTAACTTAACTCTGTATTAAAAAAAAAAAAAATAATCCCCAAATAAACACAACCCACACAAACCAAAAGTGAAATATATCTTCAGGGAGCTAAAAGTGCTTACTTGCCACTCAGAAAGGACAGGAAATGAACCGATGGACTCATGTCCAACGAGCATCACGGATCCATTATTTGACAATACACCATGTTAATGTTCTTAAGTCATTGCAGCACTGTGCAGACTGCATGATCCAACACCCAGCATCAGAGAACCAGTGAAACCCACTGCAGTAATGGAGGCAGCTGGAAAAACCTAATGCTGAGTTCCTCATTCTGCTTGAAACAGTAGTTTTTCCCTAGGTTGCTCTCCTCAGGACATTCAGCAAATGCAATTGCTAAGAAAACGCGATTTTGCACTCACTCTTTCTCTTCCTGGGGAGATGGTACCAGACTAGCAGTCAGCTCTGGCAGCTGCTCATCATCCTTGGCTTCTTGCCTCCCTCTAGTATCAGGACTTATATGAAGTGTGCCAATCTTCTCTGTAGTTTTGCGTACAAAGCTGGAAACGCTGGGAATCAGAAGTTCAAACGTTTAAAACTGGAAGTTCAAAGGCAAACAAACCAAGCACTTTCTTTTCATTCAAACCATCATTTCAGAAAACTTCATGATCTGAAGAACTCTTGAATAAAGGATGAGAGCAGTGATGACCAACAGAAATAAATCTCATTAAGAATCTGCTCAAAATTCGTATTTTAGTCATGATCCATAGTTTCAGCTCTGAAGTACTCAGCACTTGGAATTTTTTCAGCTGGAGAAACAGGATCACATACTAACATTAGTGCATAGATTTTGACATGAAATTGTATGCCAGTAAATGCAAACTGACTGCACTGCATTTTAAAGCTTGTAAACAGAAAGCACCATCAGGAAATTATGTCCCTCTTGGTGGTAAGAAACCATTTTACAGTGCTTCAAATTAATTCTTCAGATTACAAGCTCATCAATAATGTCCTTTTCACACCATCAAGCCCCAGCCCTTTAGGTATTTTATTTAAGAGAAAGCTCAATGAAAATACCAGAACCCAATTATTTCTACCACTCCCATGAAGAGAACTATGTCATCAAGATTTGAAAACAAAAATTAATTTCCTGATTTCTGGTCCAGATTAGTTTAAGATCATCAAGAAAAAAAAAAAAAAAGCATCTTTTGCTAAAACAAGGTATAGCAAAAGCGAAGGTTGCTGCAGAAGACAGAAAGGGTTCAAATGTAGCAAACCAACTGGACTTTAATGTCTAGAAGGATTAGAGGTGAACTTTTAAAAATTAACTGTAAATATGACAGTATTTTATTTAATTATAAATTGAATGCAGTGAATACTTGAAAACTTAGCTCTCATTATAAGTAGAAATATTTATTACTACTGAAGTCCTAAACCGTGTATTTGTGATAGTTATTCTGAAATCCTCACACTTTTGGTATCAGCTACAAATTTTTGTTTCAGGACACAATTCACATACCACAGTGATCAAGAGAGGATTGTGCAATTTTTCAGACCATCGCTGTGGGCCAGAGACATTTTAGCTCAGTAATTAACATACAGCACTTTTATCAAAATTATGTATTTAACACCATGTCCTTTATACTTGTACACGCCTCCCATTTTTGTGAGTTTTTACATAGCAAATTGATTTCTGCATAAAATGGATGCTACCAGATTTACTTGTACCAGGCATAATCTACCATTATCCCATAAACGTCTGGGGAATTGATTAGATTCACTGAAGAGCGCGTAGGGGACATGACAGACTACTTTGCAAGTGTGTTTTAGCAATTTCTATCTGATTTGAATATTTTAATGTTTGCCTGCAAGCAACATAGAAAGCCTTCGCTCATTCTTTAGAAATCCAAGTCCCAGGAAAGCAAGATCCCAAAAAGAAATAGTCAGCAAGTTTCCTCTGCATACAAACCACAACCACAGCTTACAGGATAATGTTAAACATTCTTAGAGACATTTAACAATTATTAACTACTTAAAAACCGAGGTTGAAATCTCAGCTCCACTGCAGTCAACAGCAGCACTGTGAATCTTCATTAAAGCCAAGATGCAAGATTTAAATTGCCTGGCAAAGCTGACTGCATGTCCGGTGTTCCAGTTCAGAAACACAACATGAACTAAACCACACAATGCTACGAATTCAGAGGACAGAAAAGGGAAAGATGCAATGGATGAGTGAACCTGCTGCATGCATTACCTTTCTTTGACAGCTTGGACGAGAGGAGATGGGGAACGAAATGACAAAGGAATATTGAATGGGAGAAATGTCTCATTCCGGTCAGCCTCAACCACCACTGATGCATGAGATACGCTGTCTAACAAATGGAATTGAAATAAAAAGTCATGAAACAGTGGCCTGGCAAAAAATGGAACAGTGAAATGAACTGCAAGTCACTAATTCAATAATGGATAATCTGCATGCAATACTTTTCTACTTAATATTCCAGAATGTGGGGAGCCAGGTTTCAAGGGCCATTTAACTACTGACTTTGAACCTAGGAAGTTTGCTTTATTAAGATTGTTTTGGCTCTGTAGCAAGACAAATGATGATCAACAACTGTATGAAAAATATCTTCTAAAAGTAGACTTAAAGTCCATTTAAGGGACAAAATCTTGATATAATCCACTGACATTTATACATCTAGGAAAACTAAGTATTGTGGCTCACATCAATTCACACTGCATGACTTCCAAAATCTAAATCACACGTGAACAGAGAGAGACACATAAGCCATGGTTAAAGCATAAATCACCCTCTTATTTGAATGGACTTAAAAATATAAGTGAGCCCATAGCTCTCTGCCTTTTGATAAGAATCCGAGAAAATACAGAACCACTGACCATTTCCTATTCACTCTTATATCCCTAACACCATCTACAATGTGTTTTTTAATCATTTCCTGGTACAAACACACTGTATCTAAGTGATGTAAATTAAAAAAAAAATTACCATTTTAAGCAAGGATGACACTGCATTTTGCAACAGTCAGCAGTAACCACAGTGTTGAGAGGAAATAACACTATGCTGTTACAGAAATTCTACCATCAGAATCCACAGTCCCTCTTGACAGTGCCTAAAGGTCGAAACTGATTTTAAAACTGCTTGCAAATAAGGCTGCTTTTGTTCTTTATGCAGACTAGAAACCTAAGAACTTATGACATCTTACGTCAATGTGAGCAGGGAAACACGGAGCCCATTTCTTTAAAATACCAAATCAAGTACACGTGTTTCAATAAGCATTTAAAATGTCTCTACTCGGAAATCATCAACAATTTGTTATCTCTTGTGGAACACAGAGAATTTTTCTATCTTCTGACAGTCGAGAACTAAGTCCCTTCATCTGCAAGTTTTAATATTGGAAATGATACACTCCCAGGTTTTCTCACTTGTTTGTCCGGTGATTGTAGCTTAGTCAGCTACTAATGACAAGTCACACTCATGACAAGTAGGAGAATAAACACCAATTTCTATACTTTCCCTCCCCACTGTGTATTTTTTCCACAAAGCATCCAAGTTCTCTCCATCCTTCTCTGGCATCTACTCTCTGCAAAAGCTAAAAAGCAGCCTTTTACTTGGGAAGTCTGTCTACCGTGTGTGGAACTAAGCCAGCTCCTCATCATCCCAGGTTTTTGCATCCCCTCCCAATCCCAACCAGTAGAGAGAACTCTTTACTGTCTCACTCCAGCTTTAGTTCAGTGACAGACATTTGTCAGGAAATAAATAAAGCTTCCTGGATGGGCTACACGAATGTTTACACACGTAAGAGATGATCCCCTGTACAAATGAAAAAGTGCAAGCAAGATAAGAACACTAATCAGAAGCCTATTGCTTTACCTGAAGAAATATAAAACCAGAGCCAAGGTTAAGAAATTCTTTCCTGGGACAAATATTATGGAAGGATATCAGCAGCAAACAAATCTTTGAAGCTCAATTAACACTGGCATAGACGTGAAGGATTCCTAGCATTAGTGCTGAACTACACATGGAAGGGGGGGAAACTGAACTCCTAGCCTGGCAAAGCCCTTAAGCTTGGATTTCTATGGAGCCAGCTTTTCAGCTCAATGTTTCAAAAAGGATTTTGACTGGAAGGTGGGGTGACTGTTCCCACTGGTCAAATTAGAGGACTTAATAATGACTAACTTGATAGCAGAAAATGAGAGCACAGAGCCAACCCAACTGAATTCTTATAGAACAAATAAAAAATCACATGGAACCCCCATATTTTCATTAAGAAACAAGTACCAAGGTCTACTTGCTCATCTTCCTGGTGTGCGGGAAATTCTTTAAGTCTCTCATCTTCTGAGAACGTTTGACTGTGGAGAGAACATGAATCTTCATCTGACTGACTGCCTCTCTGACTGATAACACGGTATATTCCAGAATCCAAAACACTGAAGCTTTCCTGTCAGACAAGGCAGAGGAGTTACGACATCGTGCAAGTTGTACTTCCTTGTTAACACCTTGCAACGAGCTCATCCAACCATAACCACACAAATAACATCACAGCACTTCATAATTCACTGCCTGCAAAATCCTTAACAATGTACTTTTTACACATCCAGAACGGAAGAGGACACAGGTGCCAAGGAGCGTGAAGTTCAGTGACTTGAAAAAGACGCGTATGCTGCAATTGCTCTTAGGAAGGCAGCCGGTGAAACAACTGGTGTGCTCAGCACAAGGCAAAAGCCATCTCAGCTTTAGTCCTGAGGCTGAGACTGTCACTTCAACCCTTCCTGCCTGCATGCCCAAGAGTCTGTGTTCTTTTTGCCGGTTATCCACACCCAGGCAGCACACCTACAGACCCTACAGAACTGTTTAGTTCCAGGACACACACGCATTCTTTTGCTCATGGTCAGTCTACGGAATTTACCTTCCCATCATCTAATGAAAAAATACCACATCAAGATGGTATTTACATTACTTGGCTTTTTAAAGTTTACTTTTTAAACACTGTTAAAGCAAAAGCAGCAGCTGATACTGTATTAACTATGAAGTATTTCCCCTTTATTTAAAAGCTGCTGGGAAGCCAAGGCAATACAAAGCAGCTGTACGTGCAAAAGAATATTAGAAATATGCTGTGTAAGAGTATTAGAAATATGTTTTGATTTTTTTCCTTAGAACTTTCTGCTTAAGCTTCATACAGTAAGACAATTTTTTCAACAGGGCTCAGACAGTTCTAAACATTCAGACATTCAGTTTTCACCACATAAAACTATAGTTACAACCAAGATCTTTACTGAAGCATGTTAAGACACCAAACTCAGCTGTGGAGAAAGCCCTCTTCATATCAATCTTTTTTTTTGCATCTCAGCCATTAGCCCCAAAATAATATGGAAAAGAGGCAGAAATCTGAGAGCTTACAAAATGTAAGTAATGATGTTTCACACCTCTTCACCCCACCTATAAAAGTAGCATTATAAACTCTAGTAGACATGGTAAAAATGAAAGCCTCATCTTCAAAGAAACCAACAAGGTGATTTTAAGCCATAAAGATAAAACCTGTAGATAACATTTTTAGCCCTACCAATACATACATGAGATGAAATACTGCTCCTTCTACTGCTGCACGCAGAATCTAGGGGTTCCAACTTGGAAATCAGTTCTTCCAGTTGCATAGTGAGATCTTGTTGGGTTGAGGCATCCAGCTGAGACTTCAAGTGCTCTAGCTTGTCTAGAGGCAAATTTTTTCTTGCCTAGCAGTACACAATGAAACAGAAGCATTATTATTTCTAATGCACACACGAAAAGCAAAAAGTGCCATATATGCAGGCTAATATTCATCCTAAAAGTACAATATTTGGATGACTTTAAAAACTCCAACAAAATGATTCTCAGAAACCTATGAAACTTAATGGAAGGGGGATGGGAAAGACAGTGAAGTTGCACTGAACATTTACAAAGAGATGTTTACTTACTCTGCAAGAAATAATTGAATTTTGGAAGAGACAAGAGACCCTGGCAGCAAGGGTCCAGAACCCTCTTCTCATCAGACGCTCTACGCAGCGGTCAACCAGGAGAAGGGACAGGTGCACAACTTTTCCATTTGTATGCAGACAGAACAACTCGCTCTTGTAAACTGCAATATCCTGAATATCTGCAAAACCAGATGCATGGAAATATCTACAGGACTGAAATTGCTAGCCAACATCTCTTTGTGTTTCTGAAAGAAGGTGAAAATGTATTTTTCATCTGTCTGCAAAAGCCTAATAAACCCATAGCACGAGTGGTATGGGGAAAACAAACACAGAAGAGTGCTGACCTAGCATCCAAAGCATCAAAACTTTCCAGAGAACCATTTCTAGAAAACGCTCAAAAAGTACACTAAAGTTACCAAAAAGTTTTCTTTCGTTCTGACGGGAGATAAAAAACTAAAGCCTGATAAAGATGAGAAATACACCATTGTTAGCTTTTAAACACAAGGAAAACATTCATTGGTAGAAAAACACTTTGGCCTCTGGGCAGTTTTCAAGTGCAATAGTTATGCTGTATGCAAACACTCCATGACACAGGCACTGGAGACTTAACACCAAAACAGAGGGAGAGAAGGGGAAGGAAAAGACTGACTGATACAGACTGACTGCTCCAGGACTGTGCTTATAACCATACACATAACTGTTTATGAGGGTTCACTTGTTTGCCAAATACATATTCCCGGGATGCAACTTAGACAAATCTTAATAAAAAACAGGTTTTAAGCTTTCAGCCGCCAGATTATCTCTCACGGGACACCTGACAACGAATCTGAATAAAGAGAAACAAGGAAAGGATACTGGAAGTTTACACCTGTATTTTAATTACTGTATTTTAAGATTCACTCTACATTGCATTTTGTTTCTCAACAAGCATATTCTCAGAAATATGGAGGGAGGTGTTGGCTAGAAGAGGCAGGGAAAGGGTTAATATTCAAGGATATACCTGAGATAACATGGAAAGTTTTCTGATAAATGTTCTGCAATCCAGTTCCAGAAAGTGAGCTTGAAAAGGCTCCATGTTAGGCGGCGACTTCAAAAGTGACCAGTGTAACAGACAATACTACAAAGCAAAGTTTTGTAAGGTTTACCTTTCACTTCGCTCCAGAGTAAGACTTGAACGCTTTGGGGAAGGAAAATATAAATGCCTCTTTCTGTCCAGGTCACCACACAGTGCTCACTGCAAGCAAAGCAGACGTTAATGGAGCAACAGTCAATTGTGGTAAAATTAAAAAAAATAAAACACCCAAGGATGGCATTGGCTTAAGTACAGCAAGCAAAAAGTGAAACAGTTTAGCACGATACTTGGAAAATTCTCACACAAGAAGCCAAAGCTGGTAATATAAAATGGAAGAATATACAATTTTTTAAAGTCTACTTTGTCATTGGAAGGCACGCTGTCAAATACTCACGTCAAATACAGTAGCTTGGGGAAAGACAAAGATTGTGGAGAGCAGCTGGAACCAGTGTAATGAGGATCCTGCCTGTAAAGTGAAATTATTATCCATTAAAAGCATTAACTACAAGAACATAAGTTTCTTTGTACAATATTCTTAACCCTGTAAATGCACAGTTGGCTTAAACAAACATACTCTTATGACAGCAGCATTCACTGGGGTCACACAGACACATCTGCAGAATCAAGGTTTTGGTATTTTTGATAACTCATCTACTGGCTTTAGTTATTAGAGAAGAATGGACTAAGATAATAACTAGGATTAACATTTGACTGCAGTACGAGTTTAATTTTCTCAGCATTTATGCAGTTCTTTCCAGCTCATCTGGAAGTCCCAAGCAAGTTTATCTGTGATAACATTCATGTTTCTACCTGAGAGTAACAACTGGAAGAGGTGGTGATGAGAGCAGCTGCTTGAACTGATGTGTGCTTTGCACTTCCCCATCAAAGTTCACCTCCCACATCCTTGAGCCAGGTCGAGCACAGTATATTAATGGCTGCTGATTCCCACTGTTTTTTCCAACAGGGAAGAAACATGCTCCAAATTCTCCATCTCTCTCTTTATTACCAATTTTCCAAAACTTCTCTCTAGTGGAAAAACAACATACTTGTTAAGGCAGCATTAAAAAAAGGTTTTAATTAATTTTATGTTTTTCTTCAAGAGTAAAAATACCAAATTGCTTTTGGTGCTTTAAAAAAAAAAAAATCTGTAATGACTATTATAAGATCTGCATGAAGTTTATACAAGACAGGGTGCAGAAATATTCATTAGTTTAAATGAATGCTTAGACTACAAAGGTGGGTTTTTTTCAGCAGAACCAGTCAGTCAACCTGGTGATGGGAAAGTAATGGTGCAAACGTTCCCAGAAACCATTTCCAATTACATGAGAGATAAGATGACGATTATGAAAAGTCAGCATGAATTTATAAAAGGGAAACCACGTTAATAGCCCTGTACAACAGAACAACTGCCTTGAGAGATGAGAGAAGAGCAGTGGATATTGTTTATCTTTACTTGACTAAGGCTTTTGACACTGCCCCTGCCAACATGGCCACAGACAAACTGAGGGAGCATGGGCTAGGCAAACAGACATCAAGGAACGCAGTGTCCTGCCCATGGGAAGGAATAACCCCAGACACCAGCAGAGGCCAGCTGGCTCCACAGTACAAGAGACAGCAATGCACTGGAGCAAGCCCAGCAATGGGCCACAAAGCCAACTAAGGGACTGCAGCACCTGCCTTGTAAGAGGCTGAGAAAGCTGGGCTGCTCAGCCAGGAACAGAGGAGGCTCAGAGGGAACTCATCTGATCCCACACGTACAAATACCCGATGGGGGAGTAAACAAAACAGAGCCAGACTGCTCTCAGTGATGCCCAGTGAACGGACAAGAGGCAACAGGCAAAAATGGAAATCCAGGAAATCCCATTTCAACATGAGAGGATTCTCTTTTTCTCCCATTCTTTGTTACTGTGAGGGTGGTGGAATGCTGGCAAAGGTTGCCCAGAGAGCTTGTGCAGTTTCCATCCTCAAAACCTAACTGGACACAGTCCCACAAAATCCACATTGACTCTGCTTTGAGCAGGAAAATGCGACTGCATGGTTTCCAGGTGTCATTTCAGAAACTGCGTGTGACTCTGCATAGTCCAGTATTTCACAAATAAAATACAACTTGCCTCTCAGTATCACACAAATAAGTGCGAGTAAGTGAAGATATGAGCAGCCTTCCATCCAAGTAATCAAGCTGAACAACCCGAGAATCTACAGTTGTTATAATCTGAACAGGAAACATGACAAAAGTAGCAGCAGCCTAAAGAAAGAAAAAACACACATACTGGTCTTCAGTTCAAAGTAAACACTATTTCATTAAGTTAAAATTGCAGAATTCAGAAGAGAATCATGTACGCTACAAATGCACAGCATAAGCACTTCCTTTCTTCTCTGTCCTTTACAAAACAAGGCTTCAATACTCAGAGGTACAAAAGTCTAAAACCTCCTTTTCCCAAAACCATTACTGAAGATTTAAGGAAAAAAAAAATCATATTCCTGTAGCATCCTGACATTTCTTTATAGTGGTTTTTTTTCCTGTAACATTAAGAGTGGTTTTTTATTCTTGCCGTTCTAGGCTTTGTGCTTTTTCTGCAATTCTCCCCACGCTTACTTTGAGCCAGCAAACAGTTTTATGGAAACAGACGTGAGGGCTTAATTGACACAAAAAACCAACTTTTATTGGATTTAGGTTGTTTATATAAACTCACCTTCTCTATTACCCTGCAGCAAATTACCCCAATGCTATTTATCACACAAGTGTCTCAGTTTGCACTGGCGGCAAACACTCTCAGACTTCTTACGAATAAAACACTACTGGGAACTGCACTCAGGTTTTCTAGAAGCCATTTGCCATTTTTGCCACCCTAAAGTTGTTCTCCTTGTTAGGAACATAAAAAAGTGAATTATATGAGAGATCCAACAATGCCATTCCTTTAACAGGCATGAACAGACCCATTTCTGTGGGCCTTGCCCTTCTCTCCTCTCCTTTTCTCTCTTTTCATAGCTAATTTTTTTCCCTCTTTCTGTAAATACAATGAACAGTCTTGCTACATTTAAGCCAGTTTTCTATCAAAATCTTCCATGAGGGCTAGAAAGGACCTGGAGGAGAACAATGATTTCCAGGTTCTGCTCCTCTTTACAGACTAAAAGGAGAAGGAAAGGACCCAGTAGGGGTAAAACCTAAAGAACACTCAAGGGCTAGAAATCAGGCTGCTACCATCAACACGTTTGCCCTTTGCCCAAAATGTAATGGATGTAGGGTTGATGTTCATCTACCATTTATTTTATCTAATCTCTTATCTTTATGAATGAGAGTATCCAGACAGAGACAAGCAAAACCTGAGTTTGGGACTGCCCTTTCTCAGACCACCAGCTGAGCTGAGAACTAAAACAAAAAGCTCAACCTGTAGCTGGACTCTTAAGGAATCCAACAGGCTCAGAAACACCAAGACCCATAACTTGGATACTTGTAAATTCCCAGCAGAAGCAGCCCGTTCAGTTTTTAACTCTGAACATTTGAAAGCATTTTCCTGTTGCATTACTAAAATAGATAGAAGGAGGATGGGGAAAGTTCATGTTGTTTCAAGAGACTAGTTCATCATCCCAACAGTTAAAGCTACCAGAACTTCATCAGCTGGCAAGTCCTGCCCAGTTCTACTTTACTAAAATAAACAAAAGATTTCACACATCACCCCCTGTGGATTAATCTCAGAGTATGCAACATTTTACCTTCCCTTGCTTGGATGTGTTAATCTTGATGGCTGATACTTTTCCCACATGATCTCCTACAAAAACTCGAAGGGTAGCAGTATCCCAACAGAGAGCTGTGACTTTTCTGCCCTTATGCTCAGAGGAAACATAAATCCGTTCTGGCTTCCCACGACGTTCCTGATTCAGCTCCCAGACTACTACAAGGCCTTGGCTACGACAATTTAAAAAAGAAAATGCAATTTGAGAATAAGTCTTGTCATATTTTACCAGTGATAAAGTCGCTTTTTTCCAAAGAAACAGAAAACACAAGCGAAGCAGCACAACCTCAGGGCTGGTTCTGTTGGAGGCTGCATGCTTTCAAGAAGCATCTCATACTTAATTCTGAAGAAGTGTCCTTCGTTGCATCACAATGCTTCAGCAGCTTTGGAGGGTTAATCTCACATTTACTAGAACTGCCAGTGCAGACGAGGAAAAATACTTCAGTTTAAATGGATTTTAAGCAATGTAAGTGGCATTAACTAGCAATGTCACTCTGCCAAGTTACTGAAGATGCTTCTTCTGATGCTGAAAGGTCTAAGAGAGACATTTATCATCATAACTTCACATGTATGAGCTCTCCCATAAATGTTCTGTTACAGAAATAACATTTATTCTGGAACAATTATTCCAGGAAAGAAAAAGTTAAGTAAACTGTCTGTGCAGAGAATCATTCTATAGGGCCCTCTACCAGTTAATTCCCTGGCCCCTCCAAGTTCTCAGCAGGCATCTAAGCCTGAAACTTAGAAGTTACTTAAAGATATTTATCCAGCACTCAGGTTTGTAGGTGCATCACTCACCTGGTGGCAACAGCAACATAGTCTTCATCATGCAAACAACAGGCCACCCGGGAAATGGCACCTTCCTGAAAGGAAATATGGGAGTGAGTGCAGGTAAAAGTTGTTCCTATACTGCCTTTACCACTGTGCAGCTTAATTATCTTTAAGACATAAAGCAGAATCATGTCAACAGATGCTACCACTCTCTTGTGATGTGGTTGGGTTTTGTTTGCAAGCACCGAGCTTTTGTTTGCAAGCACTGCATCCAAAAGGATGCAGCTGACAACATGAGAACTTCAAGAGCAATGACTGCAGTGCATTCTCCGATTTGGAAAACATAGAAGCATCAGTCTCCTGTCCTTGCACCTTTGGGAATTGTTTTGCCAGAACTGAGATGCTCCCAGCTTGAAAAAATGGCTGCATTCATTTTACACTGGAAGCACCAGTGGCTCCCAGGAAATAGCATCTGCTGTAGAAGCAGCAATCCCTGTTCCATCATCTCTTCCAGCAAAAGCTGGTCAGCCTATCTTCTCCTCATTTATTCCAGTATATTGTGGTTTAGACATTCAAACAATGGGACTTTTCCACATGTGAGTTTTTCTGGTTTCATATTCAAAGTTTTCTTCTAATTCTAAAGTATTCAGGCAACTTTGTTGCTGCTGTTAAAAATAAGAATTTGAAAGAGAAATGTCTTAGGTAATTTCTTTCACACCTAATGAAATCTATTACACCACACACTCTGGTAGTACACTCCAGAACCACAACCTATTTTAAACAGAGCAGTAAGGTTAACTTAATGTCTCTTTCCCAGTCCCATTTTCATAAATCCTGATTTAGCATTCTTTACTCTTACCTTATGAGTGAGAAAGAGTCTTTGCTTCCAACCGTCTTTCTGGATAAGGTTCAGTCCTCCTCCTGAACTGCCCAGAGCCAGCCATCTCTTTGACACATCTATACACGTGCACTGAAGGAATAAAAATCATAATGCACAACCTGGTTGCTGGTAAGTTCTAATCACAGCATTTTTTTTCTTGCATTATTATTTCTTTAAAGGCTTCGGTGTTTGCCAGCTGTGTGCACCTCTCCTGAAACATGGGCAGCAAAGATATTAAAAGGGTACATTCTGCAACTGGAACAAACAGCGTAAGGCAGCAACCACATCAGGCTGTGTTATGTACCCCACAGCTGCATCAGAAAATGCACACAGAGTAATAGCATCCTTTGTCTTCACTTTTTCTTCAAAAAGTAGTCCCTCCTATAAGACAGAATGCACCCCCCAAAAAACAATGAGTCCTATGGTTTAATCAAGTAATTAACCAAATAAGGTCATTATTTGAATTTAACAAAACAAAACAAAACAACAATCACCACAAACTCACCTTCAGACGACTGGAATCCAGCCTGAGTGCAGAAAGCAATGGATCCAAACATTCCAACTCTGCCAACACATGATTGTAAGAATCTGGAATTACTGGCACAGAGGCCATTGATATACACGACTAGTGCTGCTCACTCATGGGTATGTTACAGCTTCAGTTTTTAGCTGTATCTGCCAAAAATAAAGTTCTTGATTGGTTCATGTACTTAAAGAAACAGTGAATGTTTTCCCAGTCAAAAATCATCAGGTTTCAGTTTGTCAAAAAGGCCCAAGGGTTGCAAAATTAAATCTCTGCTTCGTTTATGAGAAATTTTTGTTCATTACAGATACACACCTTCAAAAAACTAAAATTGCATTTACAGCCACCTGTGAAACAAGCTCTAACTATGGAAAAGGCCTTGTTTTATAGAAAAACACACTTTCCGTCACAGTACGCACCCTTGGTTTGAAGTTAGTTTTCTCAAGGAAAACATTTAGCATTTGCATTTTACACCTACATCACCTTGTCCCTCAAAACTAAATTCAAGGAGTATCCTCAACTAATACCAAATTTAGAAATACCTGCATTTGTGCACTTTGATACAACTATAAACTATTCTCTCCGTGGTCCCTCTTTTCCACCATACAGGAGAGGTAACGCAGAGTGAAAACTGGTAACTGAATACCTATCAAAGGTGCAACCTCATATATTTTTTTCTAAAGGGCACATACTTGAAAAAAAATCACTTGTTGAGTTTAAAGTTGTACGTTGCCTAACAGAACCCCAAACTTGTTACACCACATACCCAAGCCCCTGAATTTCTAAGTAACGTTTAATGTGCAATCCCATAAATTAAGTAACTCCCTCCCAGAAAAGCCTGTCATGTGGAACCTCACGTTTCCTTATGAGAAAAGTGAACGTTCTCACCAGGAACTAGGAAAAGGGAAGAGACGCACTTAACCAGAGAAACTGAAAGTCACTTCTTCAAAATTCTCAAGACATCTTAAAAGCCCTAACTGTCACTTTTACCCTCCCGATTCTCTCCCCTACTCGGCTGCTGGGGAGGGCTGTGTGCCCACGAGTTGCCGGCTGGGGCTGAACCACCACACGGGTGTTACTTTCTCTCCGACACATGGAGCGAGGCGAAGTACCGCAAGAGCTGAGAGGGAAACCCCCAACTCCTCCCGGGACGGCGGGCAGGGCACGGGAGTGAGCCGAGAGCCCCGAGGGGGCCGCGGCACAGACCCCCTGACCCCTTAACGCGCGGGGCGGCGCCGGAGCGGGGAGACGTTCAACCAGGAAGCACCGCTCGGCTCGGCACGGTCCGGTCCGGTCCCTCAGCCGCGGTGCCCTCTCCCGGTCCCTCACCGCTCTGCCCTTCTCCAGGTCCCTGTCCCAGCGCCGCTCCCGCCGCCACCTCCAGGCTCCCCGGTCACGTGACGCGCAGGAGGGCGGGGCGGGAGACGGGCGCGCGCCCGCCCGGCGGTGCGTCACGCGGCGCGCGCGGGAGGAGGAGGAGGAAGCCGCGTCAGGCGCGCGCCCGCCCCTGCCCCCGCGGCCACGTGACGCCGTGACGTGCGCACCGCCCCCTCCCTCCCTCCCGCCGCGCGGGCCGGGCCGAGGGGACGCCCCTCCCCCGCAGCGCGGCCGCGCCGCCGCCGACCGAGAGCGGAGCGGGAACGGGCCGCCGGGGCTCGACGGCCGGCGACGAGCGAGACGACGGGTGACGGCGAGGGACGGGCCGGGCACGGGCGCGGCGGGGAGGAGGAGGGGGGATGACGGTCCTGCCGCTGTTGCCGCCGCGTCACTGCCCCCTCCGCCCGCCGTTGCCGCCATGGCGACGGGGGGAGCGGCCGCCACGTGACCGGGGCGGGGGGCCGGGAGGGGCGCGCGCGCCACGTGACCTGCGGGCCCGCGCGGTGACGGCGCCGCTCCCGCGTCACGTGGCGCGGGCCCCGCCCCCGGCGCCCCGCGGCCCGTTCCGGTCACGTGCCCGCCCCGCCCGCCCCATGGCCCCGGCGGCGGCCGCGGCCCGACCCCCGTAGCGCCGCTGCCGCCCGGAGCACCCGGCACCGCCCGGAGCAGCGCCGGCACCGCCCGCACGGTAAGAGCCGCCGCCGCGGGGACAGCGGGAACGCGGCGCCAGGGGACGACGGCGGGGCCCGATCCGCCTCCCGGCCGCGCCGCCCCGGCTCCGCCGAGTCCATCCCCGAGGGCGGCGGGGCCGCGCCGAGGTGGCCTTTGGCCTCCTGCGCTCCCTCCGTGCCCGGCGAGGCCGTGGCTGCCGTGAGGGGAGGGATGAGCGGGGCGGTGGCGCGGCCGGTGTGCGCCCCCCAGGGCCGGGGGCGGCGGGGAGGTGACAGCGCCGCGCCGGCGGCATCGCGGACACCGGGCTGTGCTCCGGGACTTGGCCCCGGGGCTGGCGGTGCACAAAGAGGTCCCCTGGCGGTACCTTTCCCGCCGGCTCCCGGGTCACCGGGGCCGGGCAGCCCCCGGCGGGGCCATGCGGGTGCCGGAGGCTCGGGCTGACATCCCACCCGGAGCGTGGGGTGCGAGTCGGGTAAGGCCGGGCTGGCCCTTAGAGGGCCGCGGATCCCCCTGGTGTGACCGGGACAAGCGGCACAGCTGACATCCTCCGTCCAGCTGGGCTGTGTCCCGCTGACAGGACCCTGCTGCCCCTCGAGTGCTGCTGAGCTGATCCCGGCCCCTCGCGGAGGCCCCTGGGCCGTCCCCGGGCCCGGCTGCATCCATCCATCCATCCGCGCCTGTCTGTTGGCACAGATATTCCATGATTCTGCGGTTCCCTGTGGAGAGCAGAAGGCCAGGAGCAAGGTCTGCATCAGATCTGCCAGAGCTCACCTGTCAGCCCGTGCCCACCCTGACCAAGTCAGGGTTATTAAAATGTGTAAACGTTTCCTTTATCTCTGCTCAGAACTCGGCAAAACCACATGGGAGGAGACTGCAGTGAAATGCTGGTAATGGAGAGCGGTCAGAACAGGTGTTGTAACGAACAGAGATGAGAGGTACCTTGTTGTAAAAGCGGTTGGGAAGAGTCACTGTGATAGAGGAAGGATAGCTATGGGAGTTTGACATTATTTGCAGGAGCTGAGGTTGTTCCTACAGATCTAAGAGGGGAAGGCTTGTAGGTAGGTAGGCAAACAGAACCTTGTTTTTTGGTCTGTGCCAACACTAAGCTTCCTGATACACCTTGCCAATTGTAATCTGCAGCTGCAACTAAACGTCCTCAAGACCGGCTTGATGGTGAGCCACACCTCGTGGGTTAGGGCTGCTGATTGATCCAAGTGCTTTCAGAACTATTGACCATCAGTTCAAAAGGTCTGATGCTGGAGAATTTAAAATAAATCGTCTGATCTCTCTCCCTATTCTGGAAGATACTTGAACCACAGAAAGGTCTGTCTCTAATGCTGCAGCAGATTAAAATTATCACTTAAAGCTGTTAAATAACAGCATTTCTCTGCATGCATGTTGCAGTCCTTGCCCCTCTGAGCAGCAGTGTCATCATCCGCAGTACTGATTCCTGGAAACTTCAGTTGTTAAATGCAGGGGTTATGAGATTTGGGCAGGCACAAGTGGAGCACTGATGGCTCTCACCCTGCTGCACAGTAAGCCTTATATGTCCAAAAAAAAAAAAGGAAAATGAGTTGTGCACTGTGTGTGCTTAGCAAGGACTTAGCCTTCCCTGTAGGAGACCATCCTCACGCAAGATTTCTATTTTAGAATTTAGTACTTCTTGTAATAAGAAGCCATTTTGTTTTCATTAGTGACAGACGGTAACCTTCCTAAATCCTGCTTATTAATAGGGGTTTTTTTATTCTTTCTGATGTACTGTTAAAAAGACAGCTCGGGGTTTTCTCCATTTTGGGTAATACTTGCTGTGCTCGGGAGTTGTATCATCCCACTTCCACCGTAAATTATTGCAGGAAGAAGGAAGCACAGCAATGACAGAAAGAACAGCAGTGAGCCAGTGTGCTCACCCTCCCAGAAGGTGGAATGAGCCACTTGTGGGATAATTGTGTGCTCACAGATTGCACACTGCAGGGTACTGTGCTACAATGGCTGTAAAGGAGAAGTTGGTAGCTGCTGATCCTTTGCTTCTGCAGTTGAAAGACTGGTTGTAGGTGGGTGAAATGGCATGGTAGGAAAGCAAAGCAACTGCCATGAGAATGAGCCTGACTGTGGAAATGCTTTCCTTTTCCTTGCTGCTTAGTGCGGGTTTAATTCCTTTTACATTCTGTGGCTTTGGCTCCACTGCACTGGATAATAATGACCTTAAAGGACTGTAAAGTAACAAAGGGAGAAAAATGTCAAAATCCCTAATCTTGCATATGTTGAGGTGTCCGTTCTCTTAGAGTCTGTGGCCAGCTGCCCTTTTCCAGTAAGGATAAGGTGGAGATGAGAGACTGCAGACCTGCAACAGGAAACTACATAAAAGGGTTGTGTGAATAGCACTGAAAGGGAATAATGCTGCTGGGGAGACTGTAATGGATAATGCCATGGAACACTCCTGAAATCATGCCATGCAGTTTTCTTTGAGAAAGAAGTATTAGCAGGGCTGCTCTGAATGTGGCTCAGCGCGTTCTAGTGACTGCTGCAGTGGTGCTGATGTGAAACCCCACATTCAGCTCAGCATCACTGAACCCTTTGGCAAAGCTTTGGATGGCTGGAATGGTGAAGGAGCAAAGCTGAAGTGCAGAGCCCTTTTGCCGTGAACTCCTTCCATTCAGTATTTTACTTAAATCATTTGGACGTCAGCTTGTAAGACTCCTCCTGAAGAGAATGCTGCTGTCCAGATTGTCAGAGTAAAATATCCTGTCTTGCTGCTGGCAATTTTTTCTTAAAGAAAATTAGAAGCATGTAAACTTAAATGCTTAGAATTACCATTTTGTGATACCTACTGGTAGTGTGATAGCTGATGCAGGTTGCAATCTCAAGTTTGGTGTGGGCCCCAGCAAATAGTACAGGTATTCTAAAACATATGAAACATGCATATCAGCATTGGAAAATACTGCTTTGCGTATCAGTAGTGAAGTCTATGATACACAAGATACAGCAATTGGACATACTAAACATTTTCAGCAAACTTACCAAAGATGCACGTTTCTGACAGGTGTACAGCAGTATGTAGACAGAGTGCAGTAATACGTGCAGTGTCCTCAATCTCCTGAGAACTGGTGAACCTGGAGAGAGCAGTGATAGTGACTGCTGGGGAGAACAATGCAGCAAGTATCAAAAGGCTTGTTGGTGTAAGACTGGTGAAAAATTATCACAGTGCTGTAGTATGTATAACATTAGTCCCTCACACTCTGGGGGAGAGGGGTAGGAAACTAGCCAGCTGCAATCAAATGTACAAAACATTGTTCAAGCCTTGGGCAAAACCCACCACAGTAAGAACAGCAGTGTCTCCAGCCTGGCCTGCCTTGTCTTTAGCACAGCGACCTGAAAATCCACGATTTTTCACATACCTTGTATCTTTCCCAATTCTGAAATGACTTAGCATCTGCCATTCCCATTGAGGAAGGGAATTGCTGCCAATACCAGAAGAGATTTGGAATTTATGAATTTGTTTAGCTTCAGTATTCTTCTGAACTTGAAAAACCAGTAAAGGAATATTAAACCAGGAAAACTGAGTTATCAGTTTAAATGTAAGATTTGCGGGCCTTTTGTTGGAGCAAAAGCAGTATCAGCATATAATTGCATACATTATTTAGTTAGCTGGGAGTACTTTGTTTAAATAAATTTGCTGATTGTACTGACAGAGGGAAGCGTGTTTATCTGAAATGTTTCCAAAATTTGGGTGCATGAACAAGTAAATGTGAACTGTAATACTTCAATATACATAGGAGTAGTGAAAGACTTGGAGCAAAAATAATTATAAATAATCAGCTCAACTCTATGCTTTTAATAGCTCATTGCAGCCACAATGGCAACATCATCTGAAGAAGTGTTACTGATTGTAAAGAAGGTACGTCAGAAGAAGCAGGATGGAGCTCTGTACCTCATGGCCGAACGGATAGCATGGGCACCTGAAGGCAAAGACCGCTTCACAGTCAGCCATATGTATGCAGACATAAAATGTAAGTCAATACTTCTCCTGTTCCAGCTTCAGTAAGCAGGATTTCAACCAATATTTAAAGATAACCCAAAGCTCGTGTGCCATATGACACTAGATACAGTGAGGGAGGTTGCAGGGTAGCTTTGACCAGGCTGCTCTGTGTAGCAGCAGAGATCAAGGACTGCGGTGAAGTATCACCAGTCTAAGGATGCTACTGCAGAACTTCTGTAGTCTTCAGATGTTTGACTTATACTCCATTTAATATTAACTTCTGATAGACTTCTGCAATAAATTGAACAGAAAAAT